TTTCTCAAGTCATCACAACAGTGAAAGAAACTGTGTTTGATGATAAGCCTAAAGCTCCTGAAGAACAAGAGAAGCTTCCTAAAGATGAACTTTCACTTCCCAAACCATTGGAAGATGAACCATCTGATGATGACGAAAAGGATGAAAAGAAAATTTCGCTCAAATCTCCGGCAGATAAGTTATTAATTCCTTTTAAGGATCCAAATGTGACAAACAAATCTGTTACTTCCTCCTATTCATCTACCAGCTATTCTGATATTCGCTCAACTACATCAACAGTGATTTCTTCTAGGATGTCTGAGCATAGTTTTGTTACAGATTCGAAAACTGTTGAGTCAGATTCTCTAGAAAGCAACATTTCCAATGTCTCGAAATTATTGGCACAGCCATATAATGCAGATGATGATAAAACTTCAAGAAAACAATCAATTAAATCAGAATTAAGCGAGTATATGGGTGAAGATGAATTGTATTCAACAGATATCACATCATCCTCAATGACATATGTCAGCGATCCTTTAGAGTCTAAAACTGACACAACTACATCAGAAGATGATCATATGCACCCTTTGAAATCTTTAACTCAAACCAGAGAAGCTTTGATTGATTATGTCAAAGAAGATGTCACCAAGACAGTTAGAATTGGTTCTGAAAAGCTGACGTCGTTAATGTCTGTAACATCTAGCAAATCTGATAAACAACAAAGTGATTTATCGCCAGATTCATTTATTTCTGGCCCTCAAGATACTCAGTACGAAAGATCAATCTCATTCTCTGATAACGCTGCTTCTGATGTTTCAAGTGAATGCAAATTCGAAGAAACTGTTGTCACGTTACCATACGACAGCGAAAAAGATGATCACACAACAGAAAGTATAACACGTAGCAGTAGCAGCATGAGTAAAACTCAAGAACTTAATAAAAATTATAAGCAACTTGCACAAGAATCTAGAATTGAACACACAAGTTCACCTCAAAGTGACGTAACTGAATTCACAGAAAGCATGTCAATAGCTGACTCTGTTTTAGAAGGAGTAATAGCTGATGTTAAAGCTGCTAAAGCTTTGAGATCATCAGTGTCATCAGTTGATGATCGTACACCTGACTCACCAAAAAGCGAGTCTGGCAAGAAAAAACTTAAATGCACTGACATCGTCTTAAATAAAGTTCCCAAACCTTTAATGTCTTACAAGAAAATTGAGAAGAAAGACGTCGTTGAAACTCCGTCTAAAGTTCAAGAAAAGGAAACAACAAAAACTGACAGCAAAGGAAAATCTTTGACTATCACAAAAACTTCAACACGTAAAAGCAACATAGTTTCCAAGCCTCAAACAAGTGTTGAAGTATCGAAAAGCTCAACAATGGTTACAAAAACTACATCAAGAGTATACGGATACATGCAGTCGACAGTATCGCGTGACCAAAAAATTGGGAAAGTAACTCATATTGCTCAAAGGTCAACCACACATTCAACCAGCGAAAGTGATTCCTCTAAAGTAGAGAAGAAACACGTTTTCATTGAAGACAAAAAGGATCAAATCGAAACAATCGAATTTAAACAAGAAAATGATAACATTAAGAAAGCGACACCTTCGCCGACAAAAAAATCTTATGTTGTTGATAACAAGACAAGAGATCAAAGCAGCATCCAGAAAAGATTTACAAAAACAGTTCCTAAAGACACAAAAGAGAAGTCAAAATCTCCAAGGATTTCTGAATCAGATAAATCTGAGAAAACTTCTTCCACCACATCAACATCAACGACTATGTCGAAAATGTTGAAAGATAAAAAGAATTCCAGTTTGATTCCCATCAAAAAACTCTCAACAACAGAAAAACCTCAAACCGATAAAGCCCAGAAACAAATTTCTAAGAAAGACACATCAATTATTACGTCAATAAGCGAGAACAAGTCTCATGTTGTTGAAAAGACTTCGACAACGAAAACTTCCTCGATCAAGAAATCCTCAAAGCAAGTACAAAAAATCTCTTCAACAACTAAAGTAAGTGATAAACCGACTGTGATCAGCAGGAAAAAGAAAAAGACTGAAAGAGATGAACGAAGCGATTCACAAGATTCGCTAGATATGAAAAAGAAAGTTACACAAAAAGTTCAAAAGGTTGAAAGTGTGAGCGTCTCGTCATCTCGTAAGAAGACATCGCGAGTAAAAGCTCCAACAACAACCGCAATCACTCAGGCAGAAATTTCTTACCGCAGTCAGTCTGCAATGCATTATGCTAATAAAGATAGTATCACATTTCAACACGATGAAATCCCGTCGTCAATGCCTTCAAGTCCCAACCACGTAAAGCGCCCAAGCTCATCAAACGGCAGTACCGTCATGACGAGTGAAGTTTTCACTCGAACAATTGACTCACCAAAGTCAATTGAAGTCATTTACAAACAGCCTGGCACGTCACAAGAAACAACATCAAAGATGAGATGTATTAGTGACGTTGATGGAAGTTTCATTGAAACAACCGATTCAAGTCTCTCTGATTCAATTGCTTTGCCCTCATCGACATCGGAACATGAAGCCGATGCGATCAAGAAAAAACCACAAATTAGTCCCCAATCTCCGACAGCAACGAGAGTTCCATTGCAACTATTCGACCCAAAGACAAAAAAGCTCGAAATTACATCGAAAAAGTTTGAGAAGGATGAGAGAGATGTAATGAAATCTTCCGTAACTGTCGATAAAGAATCCATTTCACCAATACTTGAATTCCAGGCTGTTTCACCACAGAGACAAAAGCACAAATTCACTTACGAGAAAAAAGGTAATTGATGCGAAAAAATTCAGTGAGAAAATGTAATCAAAAGTTAAAACTTTTGAACATTGAATAATTTTTCACGTAAAACTTATCAAATTTTTAATATTCCATTGAATGTGTCTGTGTTTATGTAGATTAGAAAAAGAATTTTTTTTTCACATTTTCCTTTTCTTATCCACTTTGTTGCGCTCAGCCATTAAGAATTGATTTGCCAAAAGTTTATTCTCAAACTCAATATTTTGCTTAAATATTTCTTAATTTGTTTTCATTAATTTTTTTTATTCTTATGCGTTTATTTTTGAGATTAACAAAATGACCGACGTTCCCACGATTTCAATAACTCATGACGACAGTAATAACAATGATGAGAATGATTTAGAAACATCACCAAAACCGAATATTAATGAATGTCACACTGATGTTGAAGACTTGGACAGTGACCAAGATAAAAATACTTTAATTTCTGTTTTAAAGCAGAATATGAAAACCAATGGTGCGGTTACTGATGTTGAAGATTACGATGCACCTGATGATTCAGAGGAAAGTTCAGAATCTGATTATGGACCAGAAATATCTTTGAGTGAATATCTTGATCAAGCTTGCATCGATGAGTCTTTGAATGTTGGTGACAATGAGAACAAGAACGCTGTGCATTCACAACCTAAACGACCAAGTGTATCAGCATTCAACTTGGAAGTTGCAAACAATTTTGGTGGTGTTACGGACTGTGAAGATGTAGAAGCTTCAGATGATGATTTCAATGACAATGACGAAAAAGTTTACTCAGATGACGACAAAGCGATTGTCCTTGAAGGATCAAATGCTGTTGATATCCACGATTCAGTTGCAAATCGAAAGAAATATGTTTCAAAAAATATGGAACAACTCAACTCATCATCATCCGAATCTGAATGTGTTGGCGAAAAACCAAGACTTCGTTTAAAATCTCATAAACATTTCAATAAACGAAATCAAAGATGTGAAGATTCAAAGTCTGATGTCGAAAATATTTTCTTGCCCGATGATGATGATAAGAGAAAAAAATCAACAGCATTGCCTCTTGAAACACCAGAAGTTGAAATAATGGCATTCGATGGAAGTGATCATGATGATGAAGGCAAAACAGAAACGAACTTTCCAGAGATTAACATTTCATTTGTAGCTGAACAGAAAGCATCGAAAAAGAAAGCTAAGAAAAAGCGTTCCAATCCAGTCTCTTCGTCCATGCTTGGTCTACCTGATAATGAAGATGAAGGTCATACTGATGTCGAAAAATTGAACTCTTCCGATGACGATGATGATGAAGATCAAAATTTTAAAACAAATTCAAAAAATTTAATTCCAATTGCTTTTATTAAGAGTGACGCATTAACTGATGTCGAAGACTTTGAAGATGAATCAGGTGAAGATGGCGATGATTCTGATGACAAACTTGACATTTCATTGCCATCACCAGTAAGGGAAATTATGACGTTAGTTGAGAATAAAAACGGCGAACCATCAATTCAAACGAAACCATTGCCTGATAATGTTTTGTTAGGATTTCAAGATCTTGATGCCGATAAAGGTTTAACTGACGTTGAAGATTTCTCAGATGAAAGTGACGACAATGTTCTAGACGTTATACCAGAATATGATATGTCTGAAGTTCCAGATATTGATGGTGGTGTCATTGAGTCAACGGATAGTGCAACAAGAAGACGAGGTTCGTCTTTAGCTGCTTCAGTTACACCTGACCCAATCACTGACACGGAAGACATTTTCATGAAAAATCAACATAAAGGGCAAGAATGTCGTCGAAGAAAAGGAAAGTCTAAGAATTCACAACAGAAACCAAAATCAAACTTTCTCGATACTAAGTTTTATGTTGACCTGAATGCTAGTGGTCATACTGATGTTGAAGATTTAGATGTGGAAGAAGATGATGTTTTGTTGAAAGATAAAAGTTACAAGTCGTCGTCAACCGACCCTGAAACTTACAGAAAAGCGTCAACAAGTAATGCAGATGGTAAAACTGATATTGAATACATATCAGATGATGGCACTTTAGACTTGTTAAGATTTTCTCCTGAAATCAAAATCACTTCATTGAATGATTTTCAATTTGAAGCGTGCACTTTGATGTCATTTTGTGAAAGTTTGGATACAAAACAAAATATAAAGTTTGAATTGAAGATGCCAGAGATTAGAATGATCTCTCCAACTTCTGAAAGATATCAAACGAATACTGACGTTGAAGATATTCAATGTCAATCTGATACCGATGATGCTGCAACTTCTCTTTCGCGAGCTCAAACTTCAACTCCAATCGAGTTGAATTGTAATCTTGATGATTTGTGCAGTTCGCATGTTCATGAAATTCACTCTGGAGCTTTTGATAAAGTTTCAGAACGTCATGAGATTAAAGATAATCTTTGTAGACACGATTCACACACTGACGTTGAAAACTTTGATGATGATTTGTTGCCATAATTTTTTAAAATGATTTTTTTTTTGATGTTTTTGCAAATTTATTATCTTTGATGGGTGTTTTTATAAAGTAAGAATTAAAGTATCTAAAATAATACAATATCGGCGTCATTTTGCTGCTCCCTTTTATTTTTGTTTTAATACTCAATCTTTGTCTTAGTTTGAAACTTTAACTGTGCTTTCAGCAACGCTTCCAAAATTTTATTATTTATCTCAAGTCACATCACAAATAATTTCTAACATTCCAAAAAATATTTAATTAGGCTAAGATTAAAAGTTTTAAGCAGTTGTAGTTAATTTATATCAAAGATTCTATTCCCAAATGTTTTGAATTATTACAGATGAGTTTAAATTCGAAAAATCTGTTACTGAGGGAACTGAAGAAAAGGATTCTGGCGGTGCAAAAGGTTAGTAAAGCTTTAATTGTTCTCAGATTTGAAAAAGAGGAGAAAAACAAAAAAAGAAAATTTTTAAGTTCCTTAAAAAACATAAAAAATCATATTTTGTGTTTCTTGACATACCTATTTCTTGTGTTTTTTATTTTTGTGTTGTACCTTTTTCCATTTCTCATCTATCATCAACAATCATTCATTCATTCATCATTCATTGATTCAGTCATTCATTCATCATAAATTAATATTAACCAAATTTAAATACCTACCTACACAAATTTTTCCACTTTACAAAATAAAATATTTTGATCACTTTTTCGAACTTATATCAAAAACTTGTTTACTTAACTTGCATCAAAATCATGTATCGAAAAAAATCTCACAAGTTCATTTTTGAGTTCAATCTGAGTTTAAAATTAAATTTTATTTATTATTTTCAAGTATTTGAGTTTCTTAAGTAATTTGAAACATTTGTTAGTTTTGAATTTTAATTTGACGACAAATCTAAGCTGTGTGTGAAAATAGAAAGAAGAAAATTGAACGAAGATTTCCCTCGGATGTTAAAAAATCATTTTGTGAAACAGTCGACAATTTCCTATGCACGAAATGAATCTTGCAAAATGGATAAACGAGCTTGTAAAACTAACTGAATCATCAAGCAACAGAAAATCATTCAAAACTCTCATTATAGTTATTTTAAGTATTATTATGACATCATTTTCTTAACATAAAATATCAAGAAGTTTAAGAAAAGGAGAAACTAGAAAGAAAAGCTTCAACTGCAACCAAAACATTTCAATTTTTCATTTTATTTCTTTCGTACTTTGTAAATTTTGTTCATGTAGTGAACTTTTATTTTATAAGTTTAACTTTAATAAATCCATATCATACACTCATTACATCATTGACTCATCTTCCCTCAAAAATTATGATACAAAACATTTAAAAAATTAATTTTTAGAGTTAAATTGCAATATTTGAAAATTCTTTTAAAGCTTTTAAGCAAGGCTTATAATTAATTTGAGGCTATGATTGGATGTTGTAAAGTTTCTTTAATTAGATTTTGATTCTTTTCTTCTTAGTCACATGCAGTTCTAGCTAAGGCTGAAAAATTATGATTTCTTCTCATTAATCCAATGCTAAAGCACAAAGTTTTTAAATTTTAATTGATTTGAAAGCTAATCATTGTTTGTTATTGAAAATGACCAATGAAATGTTTATGCAAATCGACAATATCATAAACTTTTTCTCTTTCACTAACAAACAAAGCTTATCGCATCACATTTCACTCATTTCAATGTTTAACTTCTTTCGTTATCATTGTTATGTATAATTTTCAGTTTTATATATTTTTCAATTTATTTTTCTCAACATTATTGTTATTTTTTATTTCTTTTTCTTTATTTATGTTTCCAGGCGACGATGATTTAATAAATTTAATACAAACAGAAGCGATTACTTTAGTTGATAGTATATTAGAAGAAAGTGTTACAGTCGTAAACAATAACTCATCACCATTCAATCCATCATCATTTGCGCAAGAAAGTGAATTGGTGCAACACGATGAGCGCCAACAAAGCCTCGATGAAAATAGTTACGATCAACAGCAACAGCAATTTCAATTGCCATTGATAAATGTTAATAACTATTCCATTAATCCTTCCGATCAAGCGCATTCAGATGAAATCAGTGATAACTTTGCTATAAAAAGCGATTGCGATATCATTGTCAAGTCACCAACAATCGAATCAATGTCGGGTAAATCTTTTGAAGATGTTGATGACGAATACAATAGTAGTGCGTTTAATGATGTTAACATTGAGAGTAGTTTAAACAATAATACAGCAACAAATATTATGACATCTTCTTCATCCCCAACCCATCTTAAATTCATTGTCAATGAATCAAGTAGTAGTGACGACGATGAAGACATTGTTCAAGCTGAAGTCCATGAATTAAAGCGTAATGATGCAGACGATGAAGAGTCAGATGATGATAATAATGTTGTTCAAAATGAACCGCAAGATTTCATTGAGACAATCTCAAAAGAGAATGTCAATGTGTTAATGCATGAAAAGCCCACTTCTTCTGACGCTAAAGATTCCACTGCTTCTTTTATTGCTTCTGAAATCAATTACAACACGGAAGATTTAGATCCTGCGATTGTTCGCAACATAAGTGAACAAAAACTTCATCGCGTTGAACGTAAATTTGAACATATGTCGTCAGAAGTTCGCGACTACGACATTGATAATCCCGATCTCGATCAAATCGACAGTCTTGTTAATAAGGAAGACATTTCCGCATTGCAAAATGATTTCTCGAAAATCAGTTGGGATGAAACTTTATCGGCGACCACCGGTGACTTTACTTCAAATACGCCTGACAATGACTTGCAAGATGTTCTCAATATTCCAGGTGATAACTATAGAAATCAACATAACAAGTAAAAAAAAACAAAAAACGTTTTTCTTTGCATTCTTTTTTATTAATTATATATTCTTTTTGTATATTTGCGATATGAAATTGAAAATTTACAAAGCCCGTTGTTGTTGACAATAACAAGAAAGATGGAAAAAAAATGTTTTTTTAATTCTTTCCCGTACGTCTGTTTAATGGACTTTATAATTTCCTAATTCAAGTAATGAAGTCGTCTTGTTGAATTAGCTTATTCTTGTGACACTCTTATTAACAATATAAAATCGAGATAAAGTCGTTGAAAACCGAAATTAAAAGAAACTTTTGTAAGAAACCTCGTGAAAATGTCCGAAAGTAACTCCCGATGTTGAATAACAATTTGACTAATATTTGGTGCCGTATTATCAATTAGAGAACATCAGATTTTTATTGTTTATTGTTACACATTACACGGAGGATTGAAAATTCTTTAAATGTTGTTGTTAATTGTCGTTGAAACTATCTAAATAGATTTTTCTTAGATGAGAACATCTTAGCGTTTCCCTTTGTAAAAAAGCATTAATCTAATTCACTGTTTCTCTCTTTCTTACCTTCGTTCTGTCGTCCTTTTAAAACGAAGCAAAAAAGTTTTGAGCTCTTTCAAAAAACATAAAAAATAAATTAATTGGCGAATCGTTAAGATTATGTTGTTAATTTTATGACTTTGATAACAAACATAAATATTGCTAAATTATTTGAAATCACACACAGCATGATTTAATTATGTTAGAAATTTATGATTTCAATTGCTGGGTGGAATCTTATCGACATTTAAGTTATTTGACATTGTCTTGTTGAAAACTTTTACGACAACTCTTAATTTAAGTGTCGTTGTTGAAACCAAATTTTAATTTATTTTACAACTTTTATTTTATGAAATTAAATTTGAATTTATTATTATAATTTGTATTGTAACTTTAAATGTTTTTAATTGAAGAAAAAATATATTTTATGATACTTGCTGAAAACATTTGAAATAAAAAACAAAATCCTGTAGTTTTTCTTTATTTCATCCATTCAAAGTCTCCATTGTCCTTTAATTTGTTGAAAAAAAAGAAACAATTTGTTTTTCTTTTGTTCTTATTTTTGATTTGTTTCCCGTTCACCGAACTTTCATTTTAGAACAACGAAGTCATCTTACTAAACTTCCATCTGTTGATTTACCAAAGCCAACACCACGACTAACCAAATCATCTACAAATGATACTAACAATTCATCGATGTCATCGGAAATTGATGGCAATTCGATGTCAAGCACAAGTTTAACAATCAATAATCAGAAAAATGATTCGGAACAGAATGCGTCTGATGAACATTCAACAAGTGGCGACAGTTTCCAGAAAAAGAAACAATTCTGGGAGTCATTTGATCATCCAATTTTGCCACAGCCAATTCCTAAGCCACGAATTGCTGGTCATTCATTTGACACTGATACAAGCATCAAGTCACTTCCTGATTCAAAACAATTGTCGCGTGACGATGAATCTTATCATGCTGATGATCGTTTGGAAGATGAAAGCTTTCCGATTTCAGATTCAAGTGCTTCGGAGCAGAAAGATGATAAGAAAAAGAAGCTTATAACTGACATGGACAAAATTGAAAGTTTCGAAGGATCAGAAACTGACGATGAAGCTGCTGCAAGATTCTACATTGGTGAATCAAGCGAAAATGTTATCAAGAAAAGTTTACATGAAAAACGTGCTGACTTTGCGTTTGATAATCAAGGCTATGAATGTTCAATCGATGCTGACAATGAAGAATCAATTCAATCAAGAGATTTCGTTCATGATAAGATTGAAATATTTGACGATTCAATTTTATCAACTGATGGAACTCGAATTGAAAATCTTTTGGTTGCGACATCGACAGGAAAAGACTCGAAAACTGATTTGCGAGAAAAAAGTGAATTTGAAGTTTCCGAAAAACTTTCACGACAACAGTCAGAAGAAGGTGAAATTGCTGTTAAACGACCACAAGTTATCCATTCTCCGATTAAAAATATGACAAGTTTTGAAATGGGAAAGCCATTGGAAATCGCTGAAGAACATGTGACAGTTGCAAAAGCAATCACGATTGAAGTTGTGAAAGGAGTTTCTGAATCAGAACCAAAGAAACCGATGAAACTTGAAAACATCACTGATATTTCATCAAAAGAAAGCCCAACACCAAAACGAACGGAACAAGAACTCGCTTTTCAGAAAACTCTTGAGGAAGTTGAAGATTCGCTTGATGCAGTTCAAGAAGAATTAATTGAAGTTGTAAAAGATGGAAAGTTGATTAAACAATCACCAAGTGAATTTGAAATAAATATTTTACCAAACTTGAAATATCCAGCAAGCATTCCTGAACAAGAAGAACTTCCTGACACACCCAAGAAGGAACCAGTCATTAAAATAAAAGAACCTGAACCAGTAATATCAACGACAACACGTCATTCAGAAACTGAAGAGTCACAACATTCATCAAATGATGAATCATTCAACAAACTCGACATCATTCAACGTAAAGGAAAATCAAAGCAAAGTTCAAATCGCTGGTCAGCGACTGACATCGAATCAAGCTCTGAAAGTCATTATCAAAGCTTTGAGAAGACTGACAGTCGACCATTGTCATCTGATGTTGAAAATCTTATTCAATATCAATCATCAGAATATGAAACAGCTCATGATCAGTCGAATGTTCCAGCGGGATCGACACTTGAATACCACAGTGCAGTAAGTACATTAAATTCCCAAACTATCAGCTCTCGTGACAGCATGAAGAGTCTTGATTCTGAGAGTTCTGGAAACTTGGCAAGTGTTGAAGTTTCTGAAGCATCCGAAACACTTATTCCTTCAACAATGGAAGACTTTGACGATCATTTACACACTGATTTGATGTCACATGACACAGACAATGACGAAAAGGAAAAGTTTACAAGTTTAGAGTCGGAAGTTTTAAGTACAAAGAGTGAAGATGTTTCACCACCAATTGCACCAGCTATGAAACGATCTCATGAAATGACTTTTGCACCTGACATTCGACCAATTATTGGTTCGGTGGAAATTTTGGATGAATCAAAGTTTGACGAGAAGCTCGGTCAAAGTGTCGAAGATTTGAAATATGGAAGTTGGGAAGAATCAAAGTTCGGATCGAGTCTTGAAGAGGGAAGCATGTTGTCAGTGTCGATTTCAAGTGCATCAAATCTCGAAACAATGGTTGAGATTCATTCTGAACAAGTTGCTGACATGATGGGATCGTTGGTTGGAAGTTATGACAGTGCAAAAATCTTCACAACTTTCCCTGATGATCCCACGGGATTTACACCACCAGATTATGAAACAACACCAAAACTTGATCAAAACATTATGACCATGCATCAAGAAGAACAGAAGATTGTTGAGTCACAAGTTGCAAGCTCATCACCAGCAACCGATGAAAGTGTTGAATCGATGAAGAAACGTGGACATAAGCGAACTGACAGTAAAAGTGTCTTTGCTGGTGGCTTCGTAAAACCAGGAAGTAAAGAATCTTCTGATTCATTCGAAGACGATGTTGCACCTCATGAAGACTCTTCAGACATCATTTCATCGGAAAAAGATGAAACTCATGGTGAATCATCTGATTCCGAGTATGATCGCTATGAAACTGAATACGTTCGATCATTCCGAAGTCCAATAACACCAGGATCAAAAATCAAACCTAAAGAAAAATTCCCAGATGAAGAGAAGAAATCATTTTCACCTGGTCATTCAGTGATTGAAACAATTGTTGAAGATGTTCACGCTGAAACTGAATTGAGTGCTGATCATGTTCAAAAGAAAACACCAAAAGTTCTTGATTATGAAATTCCAAATATTCAGGTCACTGACGAGATCATCATTGAGTTGCAAGATGAAGCAAGCGAAGAAGTCAAACCGTTGGTGACTCAAGAGATGAAACCAACGCAAAGCGTTCAATATGCTAAGCAAGTTGAGTATAAAATGACGGAAGAAGAATATCAAGACATTCTCGCAAAGAAATATCAATCACGACTTCAAGATCTTACCAAATCTTATGACGATCAAATGTACGAAGATGATCAACAACCATCACCTGGAAGTGACTCATTTGAAATGCTTAACGAACCTGATCTCTCTGATGAGTTTGTGATTGTTGAAGAAGTCGCTAAAGAAGCTTCTGAGTTTGATCAAGAAGGTAAAAGTCGAATAATTCAACAACAAGCTGCGAAATATGTGAGAAAGCATGATGAAGATATGGAGAAATACATCGTGAAATCAGCTCCAGCAGCTACTGATGCGGGTTCAACTTTTGCAACACAAGACATCAACTTTGAGTTTGAAGATTCACCACCAAGAGATGATGAAGGTGAAGAACCGACACGAGGTGGAAATGGATACTCACTCGAAGGAAGCAAACGTTGGGTTGAGATGAATCTTTCTGATCCAGCAAACTTGCGCTATCCTTACGATATGGATCGTGGAATTTTAGAAGACATTAAAGAAGAAGACACCGATTTTGAAGTTGGAAGTAGTCGAATTAGTAGCTTCAAAGATTCATATTCAAGCACACCCGATTACGATGCATTGGTTCGTAAATTAAACTCGCGTGATCATGACAATGCTTCGATGAGTAGTTTGCAAGAATTTGAAAGTTTGGAACATGTCATTTCACTTGAGAATCGTCGACAACAGACACAAAGCTCACAAGAATCGTTGAGTAATGGAAGTTTACCGAAACGTCATCTCTCGAAAAGCGTGCAAGGTGATGATATAAGTTTGTCAAGTTTGAAGGAATTTGAAGGGTTGGAAAATGCGTGTTTGGAAGCACATTTGATAGAAATTAAAGCGAAAGAAGAAGCAGCTTTGTTGCTTTCACGTTCGGATGAATCAAGTAAATCCTCAGGTAGCTCGAATGGAGCAAAATCAAGTCCGAAGTCATCTTCATCACCAGGAACATCATCAAAAGTCACAGCTACTACTATCGTATCATCAACTGTCGTCAGAGGAAAACAATCGTCACATTTGCAACAACAAATGGCTCAGGAATTTGTAAAACTTCAACAACGTGCTCAAGAAATCATGGAAGATAAAAGTATTAGCATTATGGAAGCATCGACTGATAGCTTGGAAGATGACAAGAATGTCATGAAAAAACTTTATGACAAATCTTCAGCGCCACATCTCAGTAGTGACAGTTTGGATAACAAAGCATCAGCTGATCCAATGACAAGTTCTGTCGATTCGATTGAAGCTTCAGCATCAAAAGGTGCAGTCACAGGAAGATCATCAGATGTTGATTCAATAGAAAATTCTTCACCAATTAAACGACGAAGTGACAGCATTGATTCGATTGAATTACAATTTGCAGCAAGTGAAAGATCAAAATTGGAACGTGACAGCATTGATGGTACAATAACCATTGAATCGAGTTCAGGAAGTGGAGCGAGAGTTGTGACACAAACAGTCACAAAGTCAGTTACTTCGCAACCAGCAGGTTCGAGTGGACAATCAACAACAACAGTAACATCAACAGTTGTTCATTATGATATGCCACCAAGGGATATTTCAAGTGATTCGTTGAATGCCGATCAAGATCTTTTATTGACAAGCACCGATAGCATTGAGACAAGCTCAACAGCAACAAATGCAACTTACAGAAATGCGAATGACTCGCAGATGTCTGGTAGCATTACAAGTTGCGATTCAAACACCATGATTGATACTTTGGATAACACATTCCCAGACTTTTATTCACCATCGTCATCATCCCATCAAATTCATCAAGCAACAACATCAACCACAACAACAACTTATTCATACAAAGAAAATGAAAATCTTCTGGATGACGACTTTCCAGCTAAACCATCGAAAATACCAAAAAAATCAAATCAGTAAATTGTTTCGATTTTCCTCGACGATTAAATTTCATTCCATTCAAAACAGGTAGAAAAAAAATACAAAAGAAAATCATTTTTCAATTTAATTTTCTTTCTTTGAATGTTACGTAATTTTTTTATTATTAAGCTTAACATATTAAACTGCAATAGACATCAATGATGTAGCGTTAAGAAAAGAGCTCAAAACTTAATCGCGATATCATTCATATTAATTATAAATTATTGCTCGACTTTATGTTTAATGTAGGATTAAAAATATTTCGATTACCAAGCATCAATTATTGCATTCAACTTTTAAACCTTTTATAGCAACAAAACATCTTCAAAATATCTTTAATTTATGATTCAAAGTTTTATTTGTCATTCAAAAAAATATTTTCAATGTTGTTGAAAGCTTTTTTTCCTTATTTTAATGTTAGTTTTGTTAAATGTTTCATAGTTTTAAACTTTAAGCATAAAACTTAGTGGGTCAGTGGATTAAATAATTTAATTTGGAAATTCCACCAAATTCCTTGCACTTTGAACGATATTCAGACATTCGCAACATTAATCAAAGAAATATGAAATATTTTTAAAGCATTTGAATGAGATTGAGGATTGTTGAATGATTCCAAAGCATTTTATTAGCAAACAATTTATTTTTCATTTATGTTTCTAAAACACTTTTCCAATTACTTTCCTTGATCTCGCAATTTAGCGGCTGCAGCATTTCAATAAGTTGCACGATCGGGAGAAAATTTGTTCTTAATTTTTATGTTTCATGATTTCGTGCATGATTTCTGTACGTAACTTTAACAAGTCTTTAGATGTCATTCAGTATCATACACAAGTGAATTATTATTGCACTTGATGTCAATTGCGATCAACAATTTATTTATCTCTGATGTTTTATTTGATTTCTTGATTAACTTAAGCAGCTGAAGAATCTTTGAAGGAACAACAACAAAGCGTAAGTCATGGAGAGTAAAATGTTGAGGAATAAAATAAATTCCTTGAACGAAACTCTCATTCCAGAAGGCGACAGAAAAAGAAGATTAAAGAATCAAATTCAACTATGACGATGATGACGACGACCTGATGATAATTTTCGATGATGATGATTGATTGAATGGAAGTTTAATAAAGAAAAATGACAAAAAATATGCTAAAAATTAATAATAAAGCTTCAAAAAAATATTATCTGTAGCTGATAAAATTTCAAGAAATTGCTTTTGCCTCAATGTGTTATCAAATTATCGAAACATAAAGTTTGGATTGGAAATTTCTAAAAGAAAAGTAAAGCTAAGCAGAGTGACTTAAATTATTGAAGATGGAAGTGTTTTACTCAGTAATCACAACCTTATGTAACTCCCTTAATGAAAATCTTTCTAATAAAGTGAAGAAAAAATGCTTTTTGTGATCCAAAAGATGGAATCAAAAAAAATTTGTCATAACTTTTTGCAATTTTGTTCATGTCGATCATAAAATAAATGCTTTGAATAAATGTTCAACATGGAATAGAAAATTATTTTTGATTGTTCTTATAAAAAAATGAAAATAATGAAAAGTTTCTTATTGGAAAACTCATTTTGGAATCAAATTTTCATCATAATTATTCTTAAGTTAACAATTGGTCGGTTTGGACATGAAAATGTTTGATTACTATGCTTATATTTATGAAACATATATTTCACTATAACTAAATGTTTATGATCCTTAATTGAAGTGAACCAAAATGAACAAGCTTAATGAAGATGTGAAGAGAAGAATTCATAAATTTGCATATTTCTTAATACAAATTTTACTTATTTGAAATATGAAAGGAAAAAGTAATTTGCTTTTAAATGAAAATTAATAAAAAGCTTAAAAAGTAAAATTATCTAAATAATTAAGCATGAGTTTTACTTTCTGTGTTTTGATTTTCAGGTTGTTTTGAAAAGAAGAATTTCAGGATTAATGTTGGCAAAAGACTTCAAACATTTAAATTAAGGCAACAGACCACTTTCGATTATTCGAATAAAGTTTTAAGAAGAAATCTGCAAATTAAAAGTTGCTTAGGTAAGTAAATTAAACAATCACTCTACGAATATTTCATTTTTTTATTAGATAATCAGAAATAAACATTAAAAATGTCCAATAAAATGTTCGCTATAATGAAGGAAGAGTTCTTCACCTGGTTGAATCTCTCGTTTAGCGAAAATTCCAATGCGATGATCACCATTGACACGAAATATTTTTGCATAGCAGTTTGGACGTTCTGAGTGATTTGCAAAACGAATTTTATTTCCTTTTCGTGTTGCATCAATAGAATATTCATTGTTGAGATTGAACAAGTAACTGCAGTTTTGCTTATCGTAAACGGCTCCACGGCGATCTGCTTCTTCTTGAGAGATGATTTCACCGCAATATTCCTGAGAATATGAAACTTTATTTAATAAAAATAACTTTCTATGTATTTACTTACACTTATGAACTCATTTGCCTTAGCTCCGGCCTTTAGAAAGATTCCCCATCCAACAACATCACTTATTGCCATTAACAAATGTTTTTTCAATCCACGTTGAATATTAACATTGTCGCAAATTAATTTATCATTATCAGGCTGACGAGCATCACATTTACACACGTCAGGATCACATTCTCTTAAAGCCAGTCTGCATCCGCATAATTTTGTGTTGCATCGACCCTTGCAGCTGCAACCTGGGTAGCGATTTGAACATTTCAAAGAGCAGTTGCAATATTTTTCGCAACAATTTCCAATAGCAAAACAGGAACAATTCTTTCCACACTCTCCAACATCATCACATGGTGTGTAGTTCGACCATTTTATTTCACTTGCGTCTTTCAGAAAATGTTTTTTCCACAAGTCTGTCTCGACTTTCTTTTGTTTTTCTATGACTTGAGATGAAGCAAGTTTTGACTCAACCAACTCTAATGGTTCACCCAAAGAAAACTGATAAACTTGCTGGCAAGTTTTTGTTTGCAATCCTCGTGCAATTGCGCAATAATTGTTTGAAAAGGAGTTACGTAAAACACGAAAGAGTGATTGATCGGAACCAGTCCAGACATCATCAGGTTCGATGAAGGAACTTGAGGTTGCTGCTTCGATTTCATTTTTCTTGTTATTTATGTTCGTTTTTTTAAAAATTTTATAACATTCCTTGCTACATGGTTTCAGACTTTCTTCAACTTCTTGAGTTTCACGTTTTTTAAAGTTTGTTTCTGAATCTGATGGCAAGTCATGAGTGTAACAATCAAATTTGAAACAACGACGGCAAAATAACGTTTGATAAGAGTTTACACTTTGTTCGAATGAAAGTGAATCGGCATCGGGTCCGTCGATATTTGATGAAGGGAGTTTTGGTTCCATAACCTTAGTCAGTTCAATATATTTTTCACGAATTTCGTCGGCAGTTTTTCCACTTTCAAATATTTTACTGATTGCAACGAAAATCTCTTGACTTGGAGATTTAATTTGTATAGTTGTCATTTGACAAGAATCTTTATTTTGAGTATTTTCTTGTAAATTATTCGATTGGTATGGAATCATTGCCTTAACCAGTTCAACTAAAATTTTATCATCGAGTAATTCAAATTCACTGTCATCATGAAATTTTCCATCATATTTTGCAACGAGTTCATCCATGAAATTTGGATCATTGTCCAGAACTGCTTCATCCAAATTAGGATAGTTATTAAGGAACTGAGAGAAAATTATTTTTAAAGCTTTCTGAAGACACACGAAAAAGTTTGAATGAAATTTTTAATTTAATTAGGTACTTACAGTTTCATCTTCAGTTTTAAAATTCTGTTGCATTGCTGACCAATGAGACATTCTTGGTAACGGAACAGCTTTTGTCATAACATAAACTGGTGCTGACTGCTCTTTCTTTTTATCACTTGTTACCATTGCTTTATTTGAGCACTCTTCGTCATCATCGGGATTGCAAAGATCATCAATGAATGTGCAGGTTATGTTACTCATTCTTTCTGCAATTTCATTTGCATTTGACAGACATTGTGTTCTAAGTTGAATCATGTTTAAATATGTATGATAAATGTAGATGAAACAACCGAATAAGTACGAATTAGATAAATCTTACCGATTATTCTTCCAGACCATGTTAATAATTTCCTTCTCTTTTAAATCTGGCTGTTTCAAACGATTATATTCTTCTCTAAGCCTTTTTTCAAAAGCAGGATTCACTTTAATAGTATTCTTTTTCATTGTATTCTCTATAAATATTCTTGTTATCGTGAATAATAATTTTTGAGTTAAATTTGATTTATGAAATTATTGAACTTGTAAGTAGTGACTACAACGTGCTCAGACGTTATTTTCGAAATTGTATTCGAATTTCGAAATTATCGTAAAACTAAGAAAAACTCATTTGAATATCATCACTTTGTTAATTAGATTTCAAACATTTCTTTCTAGCAACTAAAGATTTGAACAAAATGTAGCTTACTAATAATTCTTTAATATAATTCTTTGTCGTCAATTCCTTCTTTATGCAAGTAATTTTTATGTAGGGTAAAACAAGGTATTGTGAACACAGTGAAAAAGAGGACCTATTGTGAACACACCTAATTTCGAATGCAGTTTTATTCGCTATTTTGCATTTTTATGGCTCAAAACTTTTCAGAAAAGTACTTGGGACTGTTTACTCTACCTATTTGAAAAGTTTTGAGCCATAAAAATGCAAAATAGCGAAG